GGTTTAAAGCTCCCACAGAGCATCTCGTGGGTCCCTGGGCTGCCCATGTCTCTCCCCACATCATCTGAACCTAAACCACAACTTGCCGCCAGCCCAAACCAAAAAGCAAATAAACAAATAAAAGAAAATATAATATAAAAGATCGACATCGCCAGGTAACTCAGACTGTCATGGAATGTGCAGTGGAAGCAATATCTGGGTTTCTGGCCCAGTCCAGGCTTGGGGGGTTGTGTTTCAGATTTACTGTCCAGAGGGAAACGATAGATCTGCCTCTTCCCTTTCCCAAAACTCTGGAATCAGGCAGTCCAAAAACCATAAAAATCCAAATGGAGGGAAGAGCTCTGTGCCAGGGCCAAGGACCTGGGGGCTTCGGGAGGCTCTGGGTGACCCCATGCCCAAGGATGGGGTCCCAACTCAGGGGACACCCCCTCTGCTGCAGGGATGCCCATGGTGGGCAGCCCTGCACCCACCTTCTACAGCTGCTCCCTGTGCAAAATGCCCGTTTCCAGCCCCAAATCCCTGCGGAGGGGCAAAGCGGGGTCTGTTCCCAGAGTGGGAAGCAAAGGGAGGATGTGCCCGTGTGAAGGGATGCCTGTGGTCCCCAGGGCACAGCTACCCCGCTCCCAGCACCCCTGGGTGCCGCAGTGCTGCTGGTGCCAGGCTGCTCCCGCAAGGGCCCAGCCAAGGGCAGCTGCAGGTGCCCTTGTCCCTTCAGGCGCTATTGTCCCAGCTCATGCCTGTGCTTTGTCCTCCCCAAACAATGGCTGGGGCGATGCCACCCGCAGCCAGCACCCAGGAGGGAGGCAGGGAGGGATGGACAAGCCTGGCCCCCTGTCACCACAAAACGGAGGCAGCCCCTTTCTTTACAGCTGAGGGTTGAGGTGCAGCAAAGGGCAGAACCCCCCCATGCTGAGCCCCTGAACAGGGCTGAGGGCCAGGAGATGCTTTGTTAGGGTAAATCCAGAGCAGCCCCACTGCAACGCACAGGGTCACTCCTAATGGGTGCTGAGGGCAGCCGGTGCCACAACCGGGCTGGTAGTGACATGGGGACAGGCTCTGACCAGAGGGGAGTGTGGTCCTGATGCTCCCGTGTCTCCCCCCAAAGCAGCTCTGGGGCATGATGGCATGGGGATCTTGAGGTCTCCAGCAGGACGTGTCCTTGGCCCCTGTGTCCTGATGATGCCCTGGGGCTGTAGGGTAAGAGGACAATGTGCCGGGGCAAGAGACCTGAGGGTAGGA